TGATTTCATAGCTAGTGTTCACGTATCACGGATCTCCAAACTCACAGCAACATCTCGGGTTGCGTTCGAGGCCCATCGCTGCGAGCATCAGTTGGTACTAAGTGTTGCTGTTTTCGAAGCTGTCAGCGATGAATGCCACGTGCTGGAGCGATAGAGGGTAAACGGCAGGTCGAGTAAGGAAAAGAAAATCTTCTTGGCAAATTGTTGGAAGTAAGTGTGGAGGTGAGTGCGCAGGGGCGTGCATCGGCTAGTTCTTTCGACTGCAGTATAATATATATATTCCGCTCTCCTATCAATCAAAGTTGCCGTAAGCAGTCACCGCCTCAAGGTTAATGCAATGGGGGTTTAGAGTGTACGGCTAACTGATGGTGACGTCGAGCCACTTACCTACTGTTGCTGTTGCTGTTGATCTCACTCTACCTCTAAAGCAGAGGACACACTATCCCCCAAACGATGCTGTGCACGATGCACCATGGCGATCACGACGGCGGGTTCTCGCAGCTCTTTACTTCCAGCCAAAGGGATGCCAAGGCGAAATCGTTGGCACTGTCCGTCACGTAGTGCCTTGTGCGTGCGCCCTACCAATGGCTTGCAACCGTTGGCAGTGGTCCATCGCGTCCTAACAGTAAAGACCTTGGCCACTTCCATGCTAACCAACTCGAGATGAAAGTGAGCTGCAGCAAACGAGTTACAACGCCGTAAGATTCTGGCATCAATAGTCGCGGCATTACAGATTGTAGTTTAACGACGCGGGCCTCGGCCACCTGTAGTAATGCCACCACTACCTCAGAGATTCGCTTTGACAACGGCGGAAAGTGCTGAAGCGCTTCCGCTTTGATCACTTGACGATGCACGTCCCGCCAGCTGGCTGGAAGGTGCCGGGTTTTGCCCATTAGATTCGGACTGCCGAGTGTCCGCGGAATCTCGAGATGTCAAGGAGAAGATAGGCACCTGGACAGTCTGTCTCCACCACTCCGGAATGGCCTTCGATCCGATCGCTCACTTTTAATCCCGCCAAGCGATCCCAACGTACCGTCAGGTACATACTGCCATCTATCTACACGACGATGAAGACCGTCTCCGCTCTTTTGCCTGTGCTGCTGATGGCTCACACTGCCCAAGCGTACAGCGAGGGCTTCGACTTGACGGATCATACCAGTCAGCTCAACTTTTACCACCAAGCTGCCACTGATCTCACGGCCGAACAAGTCGCGCTTGACGAAACTTGTGTAGTAGACCAAGTCCACATGGTAAGCACATACAAACCCTGTTCAAAACAACACAAAAGTTAACTTTTCGTGTCGTTATGCTGGAGATTATGCGTCATGGTACGCGCTATCCTTCGTCAGGGAGCTACAACGGCATCAAGAGCTTTGCCGAGACTGTGACGGAGTATCTGAGCTGGCCTAATATGTCGGATACTATGGCCAACGAGCTGAAGTTCCTGAAAACCTGGAACCTCACGGATCTGATCCCGAATCCGGAGATCGAGGTGGAGAACATCACGGCTCTCGGACTGCAAGAAGCCTACGACGTTGGCTCTACGTTCCGTACCAAGTACGCTCACTTATACAACACCAAAGAGACCGTGTGGTCGAACGCAAAGGAGCGTGTGGTTCGCACTGCAAAGAGCTTTATGAACGGATTCCACGGTGAAAACTGGAACAGCAACCTTCTGGTTCAAGTGAACAATACCGACGAGACTTTGGGCGGTGACACACTAACTCCAATTGACACGTGTCCTAACTTCGAAGGGGACGAGAGCTCAGCCCAGACTGCATTTGCTGAGGCTACAGGCTGGCAAACAGCGTTGGCTGAGCGTCTGGAGTCGCTCTGGCCTGGCTTCGGCTTCTCTACTGGCGTTGCACTGACCGTCATGGATCTGTGCATGTACCAACGCAACTTCCTGGGCAAGGACCACCTGGAGTTCTGCCAGATCTTTACGGACGATGAGTGGGAGCACTACGGGTACCACAAAGACCTGGGGTACTACTACGGGTCCGGTTACGGTGTGGCGCTGGCTCCTACTGTCGGCTTCCCGTACGCTGAAGCCGTGACGAGGCTCCTGAACGAGACGGAGACGACCTACTGCCAGAAAATCTTCGTGGCTTTCAGCCAGGATACGCAGCTCAACGCCATGTACTCCGGCTTCGGACTTAACTACGATGAGACGTACCAGACCGATGCTATCAACGCTACACGCAACTTCCGGTCGTCGCGGGTGGTTGCTATGGGATCGCGCATGGTGACGGAGCGCATCACTTGCAATGGCGAGAGCTACGTCCGCTTTAACATCAACGAACAGGTGGTCCCACTGCCTGGATGCCAGAGTGGACCGGGACTTACCTGCCCACTCGCTGCGTTCGTGCAGTACATGGAAACTCGCAAGACGGCAGTGGGAGACTTCGTGACGGAGTGTGCCTCGACTGGTGGGTCCTCGGAACTCACGATCTTCGAGAACCCAGTGATGAACCAGTGCGCCGTGACAGCGTGTTAAGTTGTTTGAGTGAAGTTGTTTCGAGCAGAACCAAGCGTAAGTAGCTGGTAGCACGGGTTGGAAGTTTATAAACAAAGAATTTTGAATGCGATTCGGGCCTCAACTTAATGATCAGCATCAAAAGTAGCGAGATACTAGACCTTCATTCGACTATGCTGCCACTTAGTCGCTATTAACTATCGATCGGGCACGATGCCGTACTCACTAGCTGGTCGTTGATGCCACAGATTCACAATGCCGCATTGTGAATCGATCTCCATTTTCAAGTCACACGATGAACAAGAGTTTTTTTTTTTTATGTTTTTCCTTGGCTCGTCACATTTAAGTTAAACATTTCAGATTCCATCAGTGATTCAGCTTAGAATCTGTAGACTAAATAGCAGCTAGTACTTGCTTCATTCGCGATGTTTGGAGGCGTCCCCAATCCTTGGCGTGCGCTCACACCACAGCGAATAAAAACTCTCACCGAGAAGTACGTATTGAGGAAAATGCTGTCGCCGACGGCACGTCATGTCGGTTCAAGTTTGAAGCTGCTTCTCGAAGGGAGGATGTGCTTGTGTGCGTGCTGGTGCAAAACTGAAGCTCCCTTTAGGTCGCAGACTCTGGATCATCGCTCTGTCAATGCAGACCAATCATTGCGAGCCAAAACTGAAGCAAAGCAAGACAAGTCGGAAGATTTGAGCAATAGACGAGGCGAATTTGCGCTACACATGCCCCAACCAGCACATTCTCGTGCTCCTGGACAATCACTCTTGTTGTGACTTCCAATCGATTGATACGACGCCAAGCACAAGTCGACAGCTCGGCGCCACCAGCTTGTTGCTCGACGGCGCCTCCAAGATGGATACGGTGCTGGCGTCAGTCGAGCGATAACAAACATGAAGGCCCAGCAGTCCTCAGCTCATTTCGAAATTGGACTCTCACATCAAAAGCTGTAGAGCTTTAGAAACTCCACTATGAGCGTAGGACTTACGATCATCCAAGTGTTGGCGTCGATCTGCTCGGTTGCCATGATCCTGAGCTCCGTGCCTGCAATGTACGGCATCCACAAGCGTCAAGACACCGGAGAGGTGGCACTTTTCCCGCTCGTGGGACTCTGGATCAACTGTCACGTGCTGTAAGTCGCTGTTGCCCATCACTGCTCTGTAGACGAAAAACTTGTTACTAACGACGGTGTCTTTTGACTTGAACAGGATGCTGTATGGTTGGGCAACCGCGGACTATTTCCCTCTCTTTGCCACGTATCTGTTCGGCGACATCGTGGCCGTGCTGTACGTTGCTGTGTTCTTTCGATGGACTAAGCAACGCCAGTACGCTGCCAAGGCTATTGGTGCGTCCTTCTTCGTAGTGGCGACCACCGCTATCTACACGATTCTAGGAATGACGGGCGCCACTGGACAGTCGACCGACCAGGTTGGCCTTGTCACGGGTTACATGATGGCAGTGGGCAGTGTGTTGCTGTATATCTCGCCATTTGAGACCATCAAGACCGTGCTGAAGACTCGGTCGGGCGCGTCGATCCCCTTTGGCATGTGTCTTGCAGGCGCGACGTCCAATGTTCTCTGGATGATCAACGGTCTGCTGACAAGCGACGTCTTTATTTTTCTCCTCGGAACCGTGTGCGCAACGTTGGGATTGGTGCAAGTGGTGCTGTATCTCATCTTTCGCCCAGGCCGAACGCAGGTTGGCCTGGAGGTCGTAGTGGACCTGTCTCCATCAGGCAAGAAATTTCTTCTTCCGGTGACGACTGCGAACACACCACAAACCGGCGACACCACGGACACACCTGCTTCGCCAGTATTCGTCGCTGTTCACTCGCCGTAAAAGCAAACGCTGCCCACTTAGAATTAAAGTAACATAATGTACAAACTCAGACTCTACACTGAAGACCAGCTCGTAATTGTCGCGACTCTGATGTTGTCCAGATAGCGTTATTCTTACGCCTCAATGAAACTCAATGTAGGCATTTCAACGAGGTACAGTAGTGGGCTACAGATAATGCTCTCGACCGTGATGCACTGGATGCCTCCCAAAACCGACATAAAAAGTCGCGCACTAAAGTTTAATCACGGTGAATTGTTTGGTGAGACCACTTTTTGGTCTCATCAAACAATTCTAATCCGATTTTTAAGTAGCAACGTGATTAAACATATGACTGAACTTCACTATACCCGAAGGTCGCGTTCCAGCAACCGGTTTGATACGCATTAAACCGGTTTGTAATTTAAAATAAATTCCCGATTAAAATGATAAAACCGGTTCAGGACAGTTTTGGAAGTCACCCACTGGGCGCCTTCCACAACCGGTATTAAAAAGAATCTTCCAAATGTTTTAATCACGAATTTGAGGACCACACACACCCGTAAGAAAACACGATTAAAAAACCAGTCCAAAAACCGCCAATCACTACCGAACCTTACGAGGCATGTTGCTAAAAACTCCAGAGCTTAGCAGCTACAAACCTGACGGTATCTTTGTACTATGCTACCATAGGTTCTATTTCTGTCAACTATTGGATCGCTTCACTCCCTTCTACTACATTCCCAGCTATAACCCCAAAGGAGGACGACCACCTAAGCTGAAGTATCACCACCAGATATTTGGGTTGTTGCTTTCCTTCTACGTGGGTAGCCAGCAGAACAACCAACTTTGTCTCCAATTTGGAGCTCCTCCTGCTACCGTTTCGCGGGCTATTAATTTGGCCGAAGCTGCGCTTTCAGAAGCCTTGAAAGGGTACGGCCCGGCAAGAATAGTGTGGCCATCGCTGACGCGTCAGAGAGCGCTGGCGAAGCTGGTCTCTTTGAAACAGCCTCTCCTTTCGTTCACTTGGGGCTTTTTGGATGGAAAAACTACAGAGTACGCACTTTTCCCAAAACTACTTGAGCTCACTTGGTTTCATGTAAATTGACAAAGATTTCTTTTTTCGGTCTAGGTGCAGTCGCCTTCAGAACGAGAGCTTCAAAACGCTCATTACTACGGGTGGCTGCATTGTGTGTACGTTACCGGGACTCTATGTTTTTCTGTAGAGGGTCTAATAATATGGGCCAAACACAACTGCCCCGGATCCTGGAACGACGGGGACACTTGCCTAGCATTCAGGAAGAAACTATCGGACAGACAGCCGAACCCCGATCAGCGTTTTGGTATTGTAGCGGATAGCGCATTCCCGTGTGGAGGCGACATGAGAGGAAGAATTCTAACCCCGTTAAACGAGGGAGATCTAGGTCGTTTGATGCCTTCTGTGAGAAGATTCGCTGGAGCTTTGTCGTCGGCAATTACGTCAATACGGCAGTCTGCCGAGTGGGGTATGGGGTCGATCGAGAAGGTTTACCACCGCTTATTGCTGCCGTTGCCCTACGATAAAGAGAAGCGGCGAGTTAGACTGAACGTCCTGTTTCGTTTGAGCAATTATCGGGTACGCACTGTGGGTATCAGCGAGATACGAACAACCTTATTTCACAGTCAAGATGACATGCAGTACGAAGTAGCTCATTAATGTGTATTTACGAAGGCAATTACAACAAATCCGTTGAGTTTTCGTCCTCCTTCTGAGACTCTTGCTTTTTTGGCATGAATGCTGAGAGTAAGATCATCATTTGCTGGTGTCTTTCTCTAGCTTCCTGCCTGTCAAGCTTCATTCGTTCGTCGAATTGTCTGCGACTTTCAGCCAGCTCTTGGACGTCTGCTCCCTTCTTCTCGTCAAGTTTGCTCTCTCGCTTCTCTCTCCTTTCGTTCAGTTTCTCTTCGCTCGTTGCGATGTTCTCGACGACGTTTTCCTTCGGCGTCGGCACGTCTATTTGCGTCCTCCCTGAAATAGGCCATCAGGTTGGCCACTTCTAACCCCGCTACATTTTGGGTGTCTTCATTCATCGTCACACGTTTCTCCATTTCTTGCATCCGTTGTCTGGCGTTGAATCGTTTCGCCGTCGCGTAGGTTGTAGTTCCTGGAGTCTCTTGAACTTGTCTTTTCTGCGAGAACGTCTTGCTCGTGCCTCCCATTTCCGTAAAGTTGTCGCGCAGCACCCGGAGATCTCTTGCCCTCAGTCGGTTGCTCGAGGTTTGCAGCCTTTTGTTTCTGGACTTTTCTCTCTCATCAAAACAACTGTTGTCTGAGTTTCTGGTAAGCCTGGGGCCTTCAGGCGTCGCCATGATGGGGACAAAACGTTCTTCGCTCGCGTAGGAGGTAGACTGAAGTGAAACTCGAGAGGATCTCTGTGTGTTTATGCTTGCGCGTTGATCGTCTGTTGTACGGGTCTCCGAGAAGTCGTACTGTTCCTGAGACTTGCCTTGTTCTGTGGCTGTGGCTTCTACCTCTACCTCGCGGTCTTCCTCACGAAGAGTTGCTTCCTCGCCGTTATCTGACGGCCAGTCCTCTATATCTTGCGCAAATGCGACCGGGATTGCACCTTCAGAGGTGCTAATCAAGCCGGTTCCAGCATTATCCGTGAGGCGGTGTGGGTCTGTACCAGGCGAATGCGTAGTTGCAAGTTGTTCGTCAGTTGAGGACTTCACTTCTTGGTTTTCCTCCACACGAACACTGCGATCATGGTTCGCCGGGAGGAAACTTGCTCGTGGTTGGGGTGTCTGCGTTGAAGATCTCCTTGGAGAGTTCTGAGCGTCAGGTTCAACGTTACCCGTGTCTACAGAATTCGAGCGCAAGCTCGAATTCATCTTCGATAGCGACTTGACGTGCTTCAGTAGAGCTTCATCGTCTTCTCCGCCATCGTCCCCGTCGAATTTTTAGAAAACGGAAGCTTTTGCTTCTATATGCACGTGTATCTCCTGGGTTAAAGCGATTGGCTTCTGTGACTCTGGTATTTCACCATTAATACCGGATGGTTTGTTCTTGGCAACGAGGCTGCGAAATTTCCTCCGTAGAGAGTCGTAGTCTCGCTCCAGAGTACCTCGAGGACGACAGGAGTTGTATTTGGTGGCGACACGCTCCCACATGTCCTTGCCGAGAGGTCGAATCTCGTCTAGTACATTGCAGAGGAGCATCAGCTCAGGTACAGAAAAATTCTTGTAACCACTGCGACGACCGCGCTGCTAGGGACATATACGTAGGGAGATGCCCATTAGACGTTGAGATGGTCACAAGATCCGCATCCAGCGCGACATTGTGGTTGTCGTTAGCGGCGAGCGAGATAAAGGAAGAATGAAGATACGGTCTGGATTTTCAAAGAAAACCCTCAAAACGGATCAAATATACTGCTTTTTGTGTGCTCATCTGCAACTCATTAAAAAAACCTCAAATGTGAAGATACCACATCCAGCCTGGAAGTTGGATCCAACAGACCGTAGACGAATAGGATTTCGGCATTTACACGCGATCGCCTACGGAGAAGAGCGGAAGTCATTGAAGTGCTGTAGGTCTCGGTGTTGGCATCCCCACCAACCACAAAGACAGATAAACCACAGCTTATCGCCGTAGCTTACCGTCACCTCCTCGCCCGGGAAGATGTCACGCGTCGTCACGGCGACGACAGTCAACTCTGACCCAGTCTGGTCCTCATGGAAATGAGCGCACGGATTGCAGGAGTGATTGAGTAGTCTGATCTTCCCTCCACCATGTTGGGCGTCGATGCCCACGTACTTGTTGCCCTTGGCACGCGTCTTTAGACGCATCATGTAACCCTCGTTAGCAGGCCCATTTTTCATAGGAGGACCCGCCAACTTGAGATGCCCGAGGTACTCTCCAACTACCTCACCTGCAGGAATGGCTGCAAACACAGTGATTCCTCTGATTCCAGAGCGAGCGTTGCGGCTGATCTGCAATACGGGGCTCTCCTTCAGAGAATTGCCACAGTCTCCTCCGAAGGTACAGTTATGGGCGTCGCAAAACCGACTACAGGACGCGTTCGGGCAACTTGAGGCCGTACAACGAGTATAACACCCGCGGCCCTCGCCGTTACGACGACCGGTACTCACACGAGGAAACTTGATGCCATCAGGGTTGTACTGGCTGGTCAGCACCATTACCTCCCTAGGCCTGAATCCCGCGTGCCCACTCACTACGCGCAGAGTCGAGTGACGTATCCCCGAGGAGAACGAAGCCTGGGGAGCTGGCTATCGACGCAGCAGAAGGCGACACTTGACTGGACCCGCGAGAGGTCTTACGAGGCGAAGTGGAGATATTGTCGATGTCGTTCGACTCGTAGCCGTCCGAGTGAAAACACTCGTCAAACCACTTATCAACCGGGATCTTCCCAGTGTACCGGTAACGATGTGGTGCGATCTCCACAACTCGACGCGGGTGACGTGGAGACTCGTATACAACAGATTCCGGAGCTTGGTCGGTAGCAGCTTCTAGAGATGGAGGTGGAACTACTGGCGACGGAGCTCCGTACGACAGCGTGCCAGTACTGGAATACGAACGCGTAGGCGAGGATAGGTCCCAGCTTTCCGTCTCTGTAGCTTGGCTCGAGAGAGCAGTGTCAGCCGAGTTATTTGGTTCCAAAAGCTGAAATTCTGACAGAGGTTGGCTGAGAATTGACGCGTGTGGAGACACTTGGGGGTGCGAGAACACCCGCCCGGATCCTCTGCCAAATCGCAGCCACGGCTGCGATTGTTCAGGCATTGCATCGCTTGGCGTAGGCTCTCTACAGCAGGGCGAGCTGGTAGGAGTCGTACCCATCGCAGGGTCAGCTGCACTCTCTTCTACCAAAGTGGGTCGAGGAGTTGCGTAGGACTCGTCAACAGCAGAATCTTCTTCGTGTAAGCTTTGTGGAGGCCTCGGAT